ATGGGTACTTGCTTGTGTCCTGCCCTATCTACTCACACATGATTTCCTAGACCCCCTTCCCTCTTTAATGCACTGGAGGTAGAATTTAGCATGAGGCAAGACAGCGCCAAGATCCCCCTCCAGCTCTCCTATCTGGATCAGCAGCATGGACCTTCCTTGATTTCCGGACAATACAGGCAGAGAACACGACATCACTAGCAAAAAGGGGTTCCCAGCTTTTCTTGAAACACCAGAAGATGTTGTGAGGATTGTGCCCTGTGGACTGATCTGCAGAACCCCATTTAGACGTTCCCAGTCTGCCCAGCCCAGCCCAGCCCAGTCCAGTTCTCTAAACTTTCTCTCTTTTTAAAATAATTTATTTAACCTTTATTTTATGTGCATTGGGGTGAAGATATCAGATCCCCTGGGACTGGAGTTACAGACAGTTGTGAGCTGCCTTGTGGGTGCTGGGAATTGAACCCAGGTCCTCTGGAAGAACAGTCAGTGCTCTTAAGTGCAGAGTCATCTCCAGGCCCTCTCTAAACTTTCTTGCTGGCAGTTTATTTTTTAAATTTTCTTATCTGGCTGAAGCCTGAAAGGCAGCAGTGAGCTCGTGAGCTCACCTTTCAGGAGCTGAGCTGTCTCTCTGGCCCTTCTACACTCCCGAGCACGACTGGCTTCTTTCCCAGACCAGCCTCCACTATCTTCCGCCCGTGACTTCCCAAACAGACGAGGGACAGAGGATGGCCTGCTGGCCATGGCCCCGCCCTTAGGCCTCAAGAGTGAGCTGCCCCACTTGCTTGGATGCCCATGTCCTTCTCTGGGATAGGGAAGTGGGATGGGCGGGTGGCTCCCCTGGGACTTGGACATCAGTGAAGGAAGCAGTTGACCCCTCAGTGAGGTTAGCTGTGGCAGCTGGATGCTCCTCACTAGCCTGTGCCGGAGCGCACGCTGGGTGTGGTGGGGGGATTGGGGTGGGGGTGCAGTGCCTCTCAATTTGCCAGCATCTATCTGGGGTTTGCTTTGGTTTGTTTTTTATCTTTTTCTTTGAGACAGGGTCTTACTATGTATGTAGCCCTGGCTGGCCCGGGACTCACTATGTAGATGAGGCTGGCCCTCAGACTCAGTGATCTGCCTACTAAGTGTTGGGATTAAAGATGTTTGCTAGTAGTGAGAAAGGGCCTCATATAGCTCAGGCTGGCTTTGAACTCATCATGTAGGTAAGGATGACTCCTGATCCTCTTTCCTCTACCTCTTGAGTGCTGGGAGGATTGTTGTCCGGCACCATCATGCCTGTTTTTTATGTGGTGTAGGGATCGAACCCAAGGCTTGGTTTTGTTAGGCAAACTGGACTTTTTGTTCTTATGCCGCACCTCCATTCCTCCAGGCAGCAGCCCTGATCCCTGCTGTGGGTTACAGGTGCTCACAGCTACTTGAACCCTCTCGGCACTGACCACAGTCTAACGGTAAAGCTGGAGCTTCGGTGAATTGTGCGTCTTTCAATTAGTCATAGACTCCCCGGAGGTGAGGACCCTGGACGCATTTCTTGCTACTACATCTGAAATGCCAAAGAGCCCTGAGCTGAGAACACAATAAACATTTGTTGAACAATGTTCTGACACAATGACAGTGCTTCTGTGATCAAATATCCACCAGTACTGGTGTCTGATCTGTGAGCACTAGAGGGCGACCTTAATCTGCAATCTGCTGGTTCCAGCCAACTCCTGCCACTGTGTCCCAGCACGGGAGGCCAGCCAGGGCAGTCTACACTTAGGGTGCTTACCCATGCTAAGCTCTGTTAGCTGTAAGGGCTCCCTGCTGCTGGACAGAGTGACCACAGAGTGACAGGAATTGTTATTCACTGAACCCACTGTGAATGCCCAGCCCTGGGGCTTCCTGGAGTCATCTACTGGGATCTCTTAGCTGCTACTGGGGATGCCAGGAACACAGCTCAGAGGGGTTGGGACATGCCTAGGTCACAGTCTGTGGGAATACAGAGCTCACACTTTCTCAAGTCATGGGAGCTGCAGGAATAGCTTCCTACCCCCCACTCCTATCTTCTCTCCAGTCTTTTCCGGGGAGACCTGAACATGGGTCGCTGACCCAGTCCATGTGAACTCGCTCCTCCATGGAGTAGGCTGTGTGTGGTGAAGTCAGATGGGTGCCAGCCAGCCTCAGGTACCACTCTATGACTGATTACCGGCAACCAGCAACGTGAGGAGCCACAGTCCTCTGCCTGGACTCTCGCGGTGCTGTGTCCTCTTCCGGAGTGACATGTGGGCAGGAGGCCCCTGTGCCAGGAAGGAGCAGAAACAGGAGAGGGTGTGCGTGGCTCCTGGGACCTGAACACAGGAGCCTCCTGGCTGGCTGTGGTCATCTCCCATTCCTTGACTGCCTCACATGGGACAGTCATGGGAAACTGAGGAGTGGAGAACTAGACCAAGACAGTGGCCGGGCTCCAGAGGTACCTGTTTTGTTCTGCCTCAGGGGAGAGGGCTGGGGAGGAAGCCAGTGTGGAGGCCCTCCACTGCAGGCCCAGCTGGCTCCGTCTTTGAGGTTCCAATCTGGGGACCATTATGGGGGACTCAGGAAGTCTGCTTTCACCCCTCCTCACTCTGCCCGTCATCTCGGGGGCTGGGAGTCGCCCTGCAGGGGTCAGATGCGAATGAGCCGGAGGATGTTAAAATTTAAAAAAGCACTTGAATTTGGGGGTATTACAGATGGATCATTTAACTAATTACATTTTTACAATCAAAGCTGTTTTTGAACTAGAAGAGTGTAAGAAAGCATATGAGTGTGTGGCGTCCCTGGTTCTCTTTTTGTTCGCTTGATTAATTCCAAACAGTTCAACTGAGTTATTCATTTTGAAATTGGTCCCAGGCTGGGGCCCTGTCTCGCAGACCACATTTCTGCCCCGAGCTCATACTGTCCTCTGGGACCTCGGCTGTCGATGCCCCAAGACTGCTGTCGGAGACTTTGCAGGCCCTGCTTCCCTGGGTACCATGAGTTTAACCAGGCGAGGGCTGTGGGTGGAGCTCAGGGTCGGAGATGCCTGAATGGGGGCTTCGACGTCCAGTGAGGTCTGCTCCATGCCCTGTGATAATCTGATTCCTCATCGAACCTTTCTACTGTGTTTATTTATTGGGCGTTGCGTGGGCGAGAATGCCATGGTGTTTGTATGGAGGTCAGAGGACAACTCCCAGGGCTCAGTCCTCTCCCTCCACCATGTGGGACCCGGGGATGGAACTCAGGTGGTCAAGCCTGGTGGCACCGTTAGCTGCTGAGCCATCTTGCTGGCCCCAGATCCTAACCTAAGGTTTTCACCCAGGCCTCGCTTCTCAGCAGTCCCTCTTCCTCAGTTCTCAAGTCTGCCTTGGTCAGTAAACTACTGTTGCCTCTTCCTGGTGAGGCCCGCTTCCTCCTGCCCCTGCCCCTGCCCTGAAGTGGGGGCACCTTTAAAATATGTGGAGGGAGAAAACCTTATTTAAAATGCTGGTCATCAGGAGTACTTCGGAGGCTGTAGGTACACTCATTGGAAGACTGTTTGTCTAATGTGCAAATAAAATCTAAATTTAACCTCTAGTACTGCCAACCACACACACACACACACACACACACACACACACACACACGTGGCAGGCTCAGTGGCAAATGTCTGTTATACTAGCACTTAAAAGATGGAGGCAGGATGACCAGGAGTTCAAGGTCATCTGAGCTACATAGGAAATTCTAGGCCAGTCTGGGCTACGTAGAGTATTTGCAGGCATATAGTGAGATAAATTAGAATGGGAATCAATTCTTTTTTGTTTTTATTTGAGACAGAGTTTCTCTGTGTAGCTTTGGAGCCTGTCCTGGAACTCGCTCTAAGGCTCAGGCTGGCCTTGAACTCACAGAGAGCCACCTGCCTCTGCCTCTGCCTTCGGAGGGGAATCGATTCTTAGGTATGAAATTCACACATGGCTCATATATACTTTATACATTGAGTCCAAGGATAATCTCATTTCATCTTTATAATTTAGCTTTTGGTGTTTGAGATAGAGTCTCATAGCCTAAGCTGGCCTGGCATTCTTTATGTAGCCCAGGCTGCCCTCAAATTTATGATCTTCCTGCTTCAGCCTCCAAAGCACTGGGATTAGAGACGTGTGTCACAGTGCTAAACTCTTGAAGGTGATTGGATGCGATATTTTCAACAGTGTGTGTGTGTGTGTGTGTGTGTGTGTGTGTGTGTATGGAGGCCTGAGGTTGACATCAGGAATCAAAACCACTCTTCCACTTTATTTACTAAGGCAGCCTCTTAAGCAAACCCCAGAGCTCACCAACGTGCCTGCCCTGGCGAGCCTGTCTCTACCCTCTGAAGTTAGGATTACAGCTGACCTACCATGTGCTATCACACATACCTGGCATTTCTGTGGCTTCTGGGGACCTGAACTCTGGGTCTCACACTCTTGAGACAAATATTTTGATCACTGAGCCATCTCCCCAGCCCCTGCACCTGTGCTGTGACTGTTACAGGTTCGGTGCGGGATTTTCCACTTGTGGCATCCTGTTGAGATTACAAGCTTCAAAAAAAAACAAAAACCGGGTGGTGGTGGCGCACGCCTTTAATCCCAGCACTCGGGAGGCAGAGGCAGGCGGATCTCTGTGAGTTCGAGGCCGGGCTGGACCGATAGCCTCCGAAACAATACAGAGAAACCCTGTCTCGTAAAAACCAAAAAAAAAAAAAAAAAGAAATTACAAGCTTCTGACTGGAGGCATTTCAGATTTGGGATCAGAGATGCCCATCCCACTGAGACCTGCCAGAACTATGCAGGGACTTGCAGAGCACCGGTCTCCTCTGGAAGGTGGGCACAGGAGCTGGTTGGCTTGTGCTATACTCAGCATCACTCTCCTTTCCCAGCCCACTGCGAGTAGGTGTGGAAGATGGAGACGACGGCCCCCCCGAGCGTGCGCAGGGAACACCAGCTGTGCTAATCTGAGAGAACTCAGCGTTTGGAAGTAGATGACTTCCAAGCAGAGCGAGATAGAGCAGAGATGGTGAAGGAGGAGGAGCAGCAGGCCCTGGCGAGATCCACGGAGGTGCTTGCCACAGTGAGCCCTGGAAGAGCAGCTGAGCCAAGGCTCTGCGCCAGTCTTGGACTCGGAGCCTCCAGAACTGTGAGCTACCCAGCCCTATCTCTCACGCTTTCATTTGTGTGCATTTGGGTGCGCACTTGTGGGGCCAGAGGTTAATGCTGCTTCAGGGCCCTCTGATGGCTTCAAGGATACACTGTGACAGTTCAGGAAGCTGGGGCTGGGAGGGATCTTGGTAGCTGTCTCTGGGGACAAGAGTTTCCTAGAAACAGAGTGAAATTTCATTGTCCCTTGGTTCCCACTGCCTTAGTGAGCCTCTTCATCTAGTCTACAAGGTTCTGCTCCACATACCACCTGGACACCCTCCCTTTTAAGGATTTTTTTATTTATGTGTATGTGCCTGCATGAGCTTATGTGGCACCATGTTATGAGCCTTGAGATGCTTTGAAGCTGGAGTTAGGGGGTTGTGAGCCCCCTGATAAGGATTCTGGGAACTGAACCCGGGTCCTTTGGAAGAGCAGCCATTACCTGTTAAGCCACCTCTCCAATCCCCTGGACACCTTCCCCTTCCACGGCCTCCCAGCCACTTCCTCTCTCCCTCCTCCCTTCCTGGCCTCGGTGGCTCTGCACTTACGAAGCTTGCCCTACACTCCATGACCTGTCCCCGTCTCTATCTTCCTCCACTGAGAGCATTCACAGAGCTCTGCATTTTGTCATTGAAGTCTCAGTCCAAATGTTATTCTGTCCTTGATTATTTGATCCAGAGCACACAACTATCTCTGCACCCACCCAGCACCCTCACCACAGCCTCCTCTATTCTTTTTCTGGTTCACCTCACTGTGCAGACTGTCTACACGGCCTCCACCTCACTGTGTGCAGACTGTCTGCACTGCCTCCACCTCACTGTGAGCAGACTGTCTACACGGCCTCCACCTCACTGTGCAGACTGTCTACACCGCCTCCACCTCAGACTGTCCACACTGTCTCCAGAAGGTAAGCAGGAAGCTGGGAGCCGTGGAAGCTCAACACCAAGAGTGAAGAAAACGAAAGCTCTCAAGAGGAAAGCCAAGGATCTGTGTGAGGTGAGTAGAAGGCGCAGTCTTGTGTTTTCTACAAAGGGTGAGGGGTGGAGGCAGGGTTAAACCCCGCGCATCAGATGAGCCATTTCCACCTCAGAGGCTACATCCATCTCAGAGAGGAAAAGAGGGATGTGAGAAACACCTTTAGGATGACTCCATTGTGCCCAGATGATCACTGTCTCCCACCTGCAGCTGTCTAAAGACATCCATGTGTAACTATGTGTAGCTCAAGGTAGCTCAAGGCATGTTATCAAGACTCCTATTAATGAGATGCCAAAAACACTCTAACACATACAAGCTGATTAATTCCCCCAAATGCTGGAATGTCATGATTGGGGTTCCTCTGCAGCCCTCACTGATGATTCACAATGCTCGGTGCTCAGAACTCCTTGTTGCTGTCAGCGCAAGAAGACTGCTTGACCCTGGCTGCTCCTTCCAGTTTCAAACCCTGCACCTGCAATTCCGGACGGCACCACTAGGCGGCAGGCCAACACAAACTTTAACAAACAAGTCCCATCTTTTAAGACTACATCTAAGGAAAATACATCCTAAATTAAAACAAGACACAAATACATATATTTAAAAACTTATCATATTGAAATAAATTAAGAGTATGATAATACCCACAGTTGGCCAGCGTTTGGAGAGACATGCAGCATTTGTGCGCTGTTGGTGGGAATGTAAATGAGTGCAGCCTCCCAGAGGGCAATTTGGCAATGCACATCAAAAGCCTTAAACATGTGCAAATCCTTTGGTGCAACAATTCGACTTATAGGCACTTATTCTAGGGAGATAATCACAGAAATAAGCCTTCACTTACTCCAGGATGTTGAGTATAAGGATGAAAAACTGTCCATGTTAATAATATAACTCGGAGACTGGCTAAATAAAACTATACGTGTGATCAGATACTATGCCGTCATTACATACTGTAAGAGTTTCTAATGATGTGGGAGTGTGTCATGATGTCTCCAGTGAAAAAGAGCAGCATATCCCTATAGCCTTGTTTTTTATAGTGGTAGCATGGGAACAAAGTTGCCTATAAAAAAAGCTAGAACAACACGAAAACAGTGAGATTGATTGTCTGTGGGTGGTGGGAGGAAGGACATTGCTTTTTCCTTTTTTTTTTTTTGTGCCTTTCTCTATTTTCCAAATGTTTTACAATAGACACGACATGCATTTATTGCAACCATAAGGTTCTGTTAACAAGCCCTTGGGGGCACGAAGGACAGGCAGCCTCTGTTCAGAAAGGGCATGGAGACAGTGACCCCGGAGTCCTGTCAGCTCTGACCCCTTGAGTCCATAACCGGCCTCACAGATGTGGGTGGCCCCTGCTGCCCCTGTCCCTCAGCCCCTCCTACTGGCTGCACACATGGACCTGGTTTCAGCTGGGGGTGGGGCGGGCCGAGGGGTAAATGGAGAAAGCACAGGCCAGGCCACCACAGCCTTTGCCCCATCTTGTCTTGCTCTTTCTCCCGGAGACTCTGGCTCAACGGGAAAAGGAAAATCCTCCCTGGTCCTGAAGTTTGCCAACAAAATGAACACGGCCTCTAAGATTCCCTCAAACAAAAAAATACCAGCACTAAAATTCAGCCACAAAACATCCTAAGACTGATCAGTCTCAATTCTGGCTTTCTATCCAAATGCTGGTGTATGCTGAGCGGATTGTTTTCCGCATTAAACATTTTTGTTACATCATCACTACTTATCTATTTATTTGCATGCATGCGTGTGTGTGTGTGTGTGTGTGTGTGTGTGTGTGTGTGTGTGTGTGTGTGTAGGCATGCACACCACAGTTTGTGTGTGAAGGTCAGGGGACAGCTTTGTGGAGATGGTTCTCTCATTCTACCTTCTACGGGGATTCTGGGAACTGGACTCTGGCAGTCAAGTTTGCACTGCGAGTGTCTCTACCCCCCCCCTCACCCCGGGACATCTTGCTAGCCCTTCTTTTCTATTCTAAATAATATTTATGCATTTAAATTGCTTTTTTAGATTTACTTTATGTGTATGAGTGCTTTGTCTGCATGTATATATGGGTGCCTGATGCCCGTGGGGTCAGAAGAGGGCATTGGGACCCCTGGATCTGGAGTTAACATGGTTGTGAGCCACCATGGGTGCTGGGAACAAAACCTGGACCTCAGCAAGCACAAGTGCTCTTAACTGCTGAGCCCTCTCTTCAAATCATGCTTATTTGTTTTTGAGTCAGGGTTTCTCGCAGCCCAGGCTGACCTCAACTTCAATGTGCAGCTAAAGATGACTTTGAACCCCTGATCCATTTCCCAGGTGTTGGGATTACAGGTGTACACCAGTTCTCCCAGTTTTATGGGATTTGAGGTACTGAACCCAGAGCTTTAGGTGTGCTAGGTGAGCAGAGCTCTATCCTCGCCCCACAAGTTTCATCATGGCGGGCTTGGATGACAGCTCGGTAGGTAAAGTACTCACTGGCAAGGATGAGGACCTGGGTTTGGATCCCCAGTGCCTGAGTGAAAGCCAGACCTGGTGGCATGCACTGATGCCACCATCACTGGGGGCCTAGAGGGTCGGGGAGAGAGAAGCAGATCCCTGGAGTTTCCTGGCCAGACAACCAAGTCAAAATGGAGAGCTCTAGGTGCATTGAGAGACCCTGTCTCAAAAAATACATTTTTTTTGGTTGGGGGAAGACAACAGAAATCCATCTCTGGCCTCTACATGTTCACACAGGGTGAGTAACCCTGTGCAGGTATGTGTGCTCACATGAGCTCTATGTAGGGATGGGGCTGTGGCTCAGTGGTACAGCAGTTGTCTACTATGCACAAAGCCCTGGGTTCGACCCCCCCCCCCCCCCCCCGGCACCACATCAAAACTATCTGTAAATCTGCAATTGCTCAGTCAGGAATAAGCTGATGTGGCATGGCGGTCTATTCCAATATATGTATAACGATAACACTGGGCAGTTGTGCTGGCCCCATGGGAGCTGCTTTCCACAGGCCAAGAGGATGGAACTAGACCCAAACACCACAGGAAGTCTAGCTTCTCCCCTCTCTGAGACTGCTCTCTCTCTGGCACTGGGTACCCCATCCCCACACAGGTCTCAGGAAAAGGACAGCCCATGTGGCAGGGCCAGATTCAGGACCAGAACCAAGAGTTCTGGGCACATAGCTGGGTGAGCAGGGATGCTACTGGCATGGGTGACAGGAACGCCCCAAGGTCAGCAGTGGGTCAGCTTGCGTAGTGAAACGTAGGGTTAGCTCGCATAGTGAAACGTAGAAACTGCTGGCCAAGAGTGGCCATGGGCTGTGATACTAGTTCTCTAGAGGGTTCGATGGGTCCCCTCGTCACTCACTGGGCCCAGCTTGCCTCAGTGGCCTGAGGAGCTGTTTCATGAACTCAGGGTGGTAGCTTCAGGCCTGCAAACAGGACCTGGGGACAGCTGGCTTGCTGGGTCTTCACTGACCACCTCAGAGAGCTACCTGCATCAGGACACAGGGACCCTCGAGTTCCTGGTACATGAATCCTTATTCTGCCACCATCCCAGAATTCACAGATCCCCCCTGTGGGCCAGGCCAGGTATCTGTCATAAGCTACACCTCACATTTAAATCCCACAGTGCCTTAGATGGCCCATCAGATGACATTGGTTTGCTGTGACCTGCGTGTTCTGCGTGTTCCTTGTGGATCTCCATTCACCAGAAACCCAGCTTCCTGAGGAAAGGGCTTTGGACAGTCTCTCCTGACAGGAAGCAGCCTGAGGTTCAGGGACACTTGGGGGGGTCTCCCACTCCAGGCTTCTCTGCCAGCCAGTGGCGGAGATGGGTTCAGACTGCTGCTTAACCCCATACTTGACCTCTTGTCATCCCCTCCCCGAGACCTGGGAAGAGAGCAGGGGACACACTCCCTGGAAGCTGTTTAGAACAAGTCCCTGCCCCTTATGCAGGGAAAAACTGACTTCCATCACCAGCCAACAGCTCTGATGCTCTCAGCCGGTAGCGAGGGCTCACAGCAAACAGCGGCGACTTCCCTCTCCTCTGGGCCTTGCAAGGGCGGAGGCTTAACTTCGAAAGCTCGCTTTGTGATTTCTGTGATGGCGAGAAAGCGTCGGTGGGAACGGGACTTGGAGTTTGGGATCTGGTTCTGCCAGGGTAGCCCGTGTGCTGTGTGTTAAGATTCTCTCTCCCGTGCAGCTGGCCATGGCAGGGAGCGGCAGCTCCCGTCTGCTCTCAGATCATGACGGGTAGCGTGTGCAGGTGTGGGAGGGGACAGCAAGGCTCTGCAGCATGCTGTTCCTAGCCAGGATGGTTGGGAAGTTGGATGGGCCAGGTACCTTTTTTTTTAATATATGATATTTTCCAATCGACATTGGGCTTGTTGGGATGCACCCTCCCACCCCCAGAAGAGAATCTGTATCCTAAAGAGAAACCTCGAGAAGGTGGGTATGTTTTCCAAGTCCCCTAGGACTTAGAGGTTTTTGCTAGAAGGATTCTAGTCCTCTCAAGCTAGTAATGACCTAAGTGGGGACACATCCCAGCAAAAACCTGTGGCTTCCTAAGGCCCTAGCTGCCATATGCAGGAGTCAGAGTGAGGGCTTGACTCCTTCCTAGTCAGGAAGAGGTTCTGGGACCCTGCAGGATCTGACCCCAGTGTGCTCTGTGGACGCTGCATTTCCTGTAGAGCCCCAGTGCTCTCGTCTGAGACTTCCTGCTGGGGAAGTGCCTCAGCCACCCAGGAGACTCCAAAGGGTCCCATCGCATCCTAGAGAGCTACATACGACTCATTTTGTCCTTTATGCAGAATTGTCACCTCTTGGTCTCATTTAGTCTCAATTCCCACACTTGTTTGAGACCTTAATTGTCTCATGCTCAGAGTAGGAAACTAAGGCTTGAGAAGGTGTGCACCTTCACCAAGCTATGGAGCTGCACCGGTAGAACCAAGCCCAGGTCTCCCTGACACCCAGGGATGGGCTGCCTTCGCTAGCCTTCTGGGAGGCATGCCGTGCAGGACTGGGGACTGCATCACCATTGCCAGCCAGTCCTGACTCTAGAATGATCTCTGAACCAGCTGGCATTCCCCTCCTGGCATCCTCCCAACTTTGAAGGCACAGAACAAACCCTTGAATTTGACAGATCCCCTGAGCTCTATCCTACAGGTCTTACCAATTTCCTCTCCCCACTCTATGTAGATCACGCTGGCCTCAAACTCGTGGTAGTCCTCCTGCCTCAGTCATGTATCATCAACACCTGGCTTGGTTCCTGTGTGTTCCAGGGTATCAGTACTTCTGGAAGCTACTGTCAACATCTTTAACCTTTGCAAGGCAGCTATGGAAGCAGGGTACCTCAACTCCTTGTCTTTGATGTGGTACTCATTTGGTCTGGGTAGGGACATCAACCCCCAAATACAGCTTGTTTGTTTGAAGTTTTCATATCATAAAGGCTCCCTGAATATAAGTGGTAAGATCTCAGGGAGTCTCTGCCTCTAGGCAGAGGTATAGTAGTGTCTTCCAGGAGGATATGGCCAAGCCAGGGCCAGACTTGAGGCTCAGCAGGTACACTGGGCTGGAAGGACAGCTGCTTTTTGGAAGGCTCTTTGCTTTCCTTGGGAGACATCTCAGGGAGGTTTGTGTGGGGGTCTGCCCAGAGTGCACACTGATCCTTCCATAGAAGGAACCAGCTCAGCTACTGAGGAGGAGGAGGATGGAGTAAGACAGTTCAGTCAAGGTTCAGGAGGAGAGTGTCGGATTAAAAGGAGGAGGCAGAGATAGAACAAAAAAATAAATGTCAATTACCGGGTAGCCATCTCGTCCTGATTGCCCCTGTGGTAATTAACAAGCCATTAATAATCAGAGTTTTGGCAGAAAACCATATGGCAATGCTTATAACTCTTTCCGGCCATATCCCCCACTGTTCTCGGTGTGGTTTGCAGGATACTAACACTGCTAGTTGTAGTGTGTTGTTTCAGGGCTCTGGTGGGTCAGCTACCTTCTCCCGTCAGAGGTCATGGGCCTTCATGAGAGCTATCAAGGGCACCATACCCATAGGTGTCATCTCTATGTCAGTCCTGGCATAAGACACAGAACATGTGATCATATAGGGCTGGAAGGATCTGTCACAACCATAAACCAGGGACTGAAAGTGTTCCTTACATGAGGGATGCAGTTCTTCCATGCTTCTACTGGAACAGGTTGAACTGAGAAAGTTCTGGAAGCTAGAGATATGGGGGGCATGCACTGCTATTGACTGTTTTCTCTGTTCTGCCAGCTCAGGTCAAGTCTGTTCAAGGCCACTGACACCCGAGACAGTGTTCCACACATGGACATCCACCCTCCTCTTCAAACCACCTCCCTCTTCAGTGGTGGCTTAAGAGTTCCTGTTTGTTTAACCCATTTAATATTTTAACAACAGAGCCAAAACAAAACCACGCCTTGGTCCCTGCGTTTTGCATTTCCACAAGTTTGCACACGCTGTCTCAGAGGGGCCTCAGGGAACACTCTACCAGGAAGTGCATTTGTGGCCAAAAACCTACACATTTTTGTCCGCCTGCCTTTTCTTTGGCTCAAACTGATGCTACATGCACAGAGGAGCCCACATCCTGAAGGGTGCTGATGGGGGCTGGGGGTGGGGGTGAATCATGGGAAGGAGAAGTCAGAAGCAAAACGGCTCATCTGAGAAGAATCCCTTTGCAAGGTTAGCTTTGGCTCCGGTTGACCGTCAATGTGCTGCTCGAATGGATGTATAGGAATTTATCTGGTCCCAAGAATCCGCCAAGAGGAATCAGAGGCAGACACATCCGTGAGCAGGGAAAGTGGGATTCCCAGGGCCATGGAGTCACTGCCGTTAAAGCAGCCTCTGACCCAGGCAGACTGGGAGCTTCCCTTCACACCCTCTTTAAATACAGCGACTGTTTTACTTCTGGTGCCACCTAGACACCTCCACCCGCCAGTCAGGCTCACGGAGTGCCAGCTGGGAGCAAGCCACGCTGGCTAAGAAGAAAAATAAACTCCAGGATCTAGTGTTCGAGCCCAACTTTGTCTTGGAGCTACAATATCGGCAGCCACAGAACACTTCGGAGAGACGGGCTGGCACTTAACATTTCTTGTTCACAAAGCTGAATCAAAGATGTGGGGAGGAGTTGCTACATTTGTGTGAGAAGAAGCTGGCTGGCCTAGAGTGTTCTAGTCGGCAAGGCGAACTCAGGGATTTCTTCTACTATTTAAGAGCTAAGTCAGCCTCTGTCTGGGAGGGAAACTTTCTGGCCTGTTTATTTCTGAGGCGGGTTCTCATGTAATCCAAGCTGGCCTCAGACTTCCTATGTAGGGATTGTAGTATGTATTACCACATAGGACTTTCCTTCCTTCCTTCCTTCCTTCCTTCCTTCCTTCCTTCCTTCCTTCCTTCCTTCCTTCCTTCCTTCCTTCCCTCCCTCCCTCCTTCCTTCTTTCTTTCCTTCCTTCTCTCTCTCTCTCTCTCTCTCTCTCTCTCTCTCTCTCTCTCTCTCTCTCTCTCTCTCTCTCTCTCTTTCTGAGACATGGTTTCTCTGTGTAACAGCCCTGGCTTTCCTGGAATTCACTTTGCCTGCCTCTGCCTCCCAAGTGCTAGGATTAAGGCGTGCCTCCATTGTCTGGCACCACACGATGTTTTCTGTGGTTCTGGGGATCAAACCCGGGGCTTGCACATGCCAGGCAACACTCTACCAACCAGGCTGCATCCCCAGCCCTTTCCTTGGCTTCTCCCCAGCCCTTTCCACATGCTTCTCCAACCAAAAGCTGATTCCATGGGAGCTGGTTTCATAGAGAGAACCAAATAAATGTCTTATCTTTCAGGAAAACCGCACAAAGTCCACGACACTTACTGGAGGACCTGCAAAACACAAGCAGAAGAGGCCTGTCAGCGTCGAAGGGTTCCCTCCCTATCCTCTGCACAGCTCTGGCCACTCTCTACCTCATCAACTCAAGGCTTCAGTGGGGTCACAGTATTGCCCACAAGGGCCCTGTCAATGAGGGTCAGCCACAGAACCAAGAAGAGATACTTTCATCCCCGGAGGGGCCTGGGTGGCCATGTGGGAGGCAGTGATGGTCCTCACATGCAGGGAGTCATGTGTTCATTGCATGAGGCTGGTTGGGACACACTCATGTTACACTCTAGAAAGTTAAATATGATTAGATCTTGCTTGTCCAGTGAGCAGGTTTTTGGATTTTACTGGGGAGGAGAGAGATAAAGAGGAAAAAACATTTCGGGTAGAGGGAAGGGTGGGGGTGAAGGCATGTGGTATGTATGGTTGGGCAGAGGTGGAGTAGATGACCACAGCCCAGCTCTAGGGGTAGAGGTGTACAAGGAGATTGAAGGAACAGTCTAGAAATTATGGTAGCAGCTGTGATGAGTCTTGCCCACAGAAGATAACTGATGCTGACTATGGAGTCTGAACATATATGTGCTCACTCACATGCACATCTATACCCAAGCACACACACATACACAAACACACAATACTTGAAAAACATTGTGCCTCTATTGAACATGCCATTGTCATTATTCTCTAAGTATAACAACGATTTGCATCTCATGTACATCGTCTCAGGCACTTGGAGAGGATTTAATGTATCTGTGAGGATGTGTGTAGGTTATATGCAAATATAAAGTCATTTTACATAAGGGACTTCAGTATTGGTGGGTCCCATGGGTGGGAAGGCTGGCTAGAGTCAGTTAAGGGGCAGGGCACCCGGAAGATAGCCTCTCAATTCCCCAAAGCAACATCACCTCCCACAAGTGCAAGCTTCCACCGAACTTGCAATTCCTGTTCCCATCACACCCCAGATCATACCCCGTAGGATGAGGCAGCCCTTGACAATCATGGGAATAAGGAGTATGTCTGTATGGTCAACGGTGGGCTGGGAGCCTTGGGGGACCCATCAGTGAGGACAAGTGTAAACAGCCCTGCCTAACACAGTGTTCCTTCAACAGACACTTAGAAAAAACAAAACACAGATGAATAAAAATCAAAAATAGGGGGCCTATCTTGGCTTGGCTTGCTCAGGAAGGGGCTCTACTGGTTCTAGAGGGGGAGACAAAAATGAATTATCAGAGCGAGGCAGGGGCAGTCTGAGGAGAAGCAGAGATGGGAAAGTTGGGAACATGCTTCCAAATCCCTGAGCTTTTCCTGAGAAGGAGATGGAGCAGGGGAGGGAGGCGGGCCAGCCAGGTACAAGGTCTGTTTCCATGTTACTGAGAGAGCAGGGCTTGGTGCTGTGGACAGTGCAGGGAATCACTGAAGAGTCAACATGGATGAAGGCTGGAAGAAAGGCCAGAGTAGACACTGGCGTGCATGGCCGCTATCCCTGGCAGGTCCCAGCAGTGGCGTCAGGAAGATGTGAGAATCTGCAGACACTCGGCAAAGAGGAGAGGCAGGAGTTTCTGACTGACGAATGGTGGGAGAGGATGTTCATGGAGGTGAGAGACATGGTCAAGATTTTTGACTGGATGTTTTAATATTACCACCAATGGTAACAGAAGCTGTGCTTTCCCTAAGTCTAGTGTGGGGCTGAACAGGGCAAGGACAGCATAGACTCTGAACTTACAGTGATTGACCTTGCTTCCTGTCTTCCAGAGAAGACAAAAGCCACCGGAAAGACTCACTAACCATCTTCTGGAGACTAGATGAACATGTCTGTCTGCACATGTCTATGTGTCTGCCTCTGGGCCCACCCTCCTTCCTACTCACGCCCCTCAGGTTACTGGAGGAACTGACCTTCTCCAATTAAGGCCAGCTTCCCCCTTTGCCTTCCTGGGCTGACTGACATCTGACAGGTTCCCTGATGCCCACCCAGCTCAGGGTCTGGCAGGCACCTACAATAATAAACAGGCAGGAAGAGTCAAGGGCGAGAGGGGCAGGAGCTGCCTGCTGGACCAGCACCTCTGCTAAACCCTTTGCACCTGACTTTGTTATGGAGTTTACTGGCTTGGCACAGCTGCCAGAGGCAGATTCTGAGGGTCTGTAGCAAGTGGGTAACTTAAGAGAGATGGCTTAGGTCATCCAGGGGTCCCTGCTTAGAAAACGAGGCTGGTTCAGGTCCCCCAATGGACTACATGGTGCCCCCACCCCCTGAGCCTGGCTCCACATTGTGTTTTACTTTCTGACCCTTGAGCACACAGCTTTCACACATATGTTCTAATCCCCAGAATGTGGGAGCAATTAAATGCGAGCCGGATGACTTGGCCTGAGGAAGTAGGGCGGTTGGTGAGTCTCAGGACTGTCTACGGAGTGCCTGTGACCTGCCAGGGCTTCCTAATTTGGGAGCCATGCTCACCCACACCTTGGGGGGTAGGAGGGACTGGCTGCCTGGGTGGGTGAGCTGCCTGTTCGGTGCTGACAGGTGGGTAGTGGGTCTGGGAGCCACCCTGTCCATCTGGAGCTTTGGCTCCTCCAAGGTCAGTCATTTCCCTAATGTCTCCCAAAGGTATGTTGGATCTTCCTGTATAGTTTCTCTGCTAGTCTGGCAGGGCCTGGCCCACGCAGTGGAAGTGGAGGCTGTCTTTGGCCTGAGGGTGCTAGAGTCTCTGTCCGGGCTCCCAGCCCCACAACTGTTATTGTTGTCTTAGACTCGGCTATTTGTCGGCCTGTTTCCTGCACTCCTCGGTTGAATAGGCTTTCCGCCTTGCTCACGTGTTAGCTAGCTCCAGGGTGGTGCCACAGCCAGAGTCTACACCGTAGAAACCAGATCTTTCCCTGCATGAGCTGAGGAGCCTTCTGCTACGTCTGCCAGTTCTCTCTAGGGAAGAGAGTGGGTAACCCAAGGGCTTTTCAGTGAGTTTGTGTGTAGGTGGAGTAATGTTGAGCAAACTCCGAGGCAGTGTCATGAGGGGGAAAGTGGGGTAGGAGTTTGTGTCTGAGAATGTGGTGAGTACGCATGTCTGCCTCTCTGGATGTTGGGGAGGACTGAGGAAGATGGTGTGTGTGTGTGTGTGTGCGTGTGTGCGTGTGTGCGTGTGTGCGTGCGCACATGCGTGAATGCGTGCACACGTGTACACTTGTGAAGCACCCTGAATAGCACTAGCCCAGGAGAAGCTAGCACAGGCTGGACTTAGAGCACGTTCCCTTTCACACACATGCAAGTGTGAGCATGACACATACTGCACACATGCACACACATGCACATAGACCCCAGGAAAAATAAGAACAGCTGTCAGTTTTCCACTGTGTAATTCACATTGAAGAACCCATGGCCCCGGGCCTGACTGGACCACAGAGTGAAGGTGCTCTTATTTAAATGGCACTCTAGAGAGGCTTCCAGACTTTTGGCTGAAATGGGAACATCGGGTACAAAAATCTCATCTCTGGAATTCAGTGTCACACAGGCTTGCCTGGGGAGGGAGGTTGATCCAGGCAGTTATACCAGACATTGTGCTGTGTTTCCCGGTGGAAAGCCAGCCAGGAGCAGGTGAGAACTCCGTTCTATTTGGACAGATGAACCTGTGATGCCAGAGGGCAGGGAGGGTGCTGTCCAGGACAAGGCCTTGATTGGGAGAGACTAAGGAACTGGTCCCATGGATGGCAGCGGGCGTTTGTGGTAGGATAACATTCTGGTTAGATCCTGTCCCTGCACTCCAAAAGAGTCTCTCTGCCAGGGCACCCTGGGAGAGAGGCCTGCTTTGCATAATGGAGGGTGACAATTCCAGGATGTGCATGTATGTGAAACTATCCAGAAATAAACACCAGTACCATCCAAAGTCAGCCAGAGGGGACACCTGCTCTGTGTGGCTCTCACTGGCTCCGAGAAACACCTCACATGAGGTGCAGGGGGGAGGTGGCCGACCTTAGACAAGACAGTGTTTTCATTGCAGCCTGTTCTTATTTTGAAAAATGGGGGTAAGAACATATTCTCATCTGGCAGTCCTGCGGGGATCATGTGAAACGTAGGATTCTGAAGGGCCCAGTACAGAGATGCAGGTGTGCACGGACTCTAGGCTGTCTATGCTTCTCAGCTGCTGTGAAAAGTGCTGCGATGAACGCGGTGTGCAGACGTCCCTCCCCCACAGTGACTTTATTTCTTCTGTATACACCCAAGGCTGGGATAACAGGTCATACAACGCTTTGAGGGCTCTCCCTACACACTCCATATCGATCCCCACCGCGGCACTTGCACTAAGTGTGGACATCGGCAGCAGCACACGCTGTCTTCCGTCCTTTGGTAACAGCTGTTCCTCTGGGGCGATGTGATGCGTCCAACAGTTCTGGTTTGCGATCACCTGCCGACTAGTGAGGAGAACACCTCCCCAGGGTGCACATCTTTGCTTTTGTTCCCCCCTCCTCTTCTTTTGAGAAAGGCTGACCTGGAACTCACTTGAGTTAAGGATCATCCGGTTTCAGTCTCTCCAGTGCTGGGATTATATGCCTACCCCACCTATCTGCCACCGGCCCTATGCACGCCTGCTTTTGGGAAGTGTTATTTTAGATCTGTATCTTGTTTTTGTGTGCATGTGTTCACATGTGTGCTGGTGCACATGTGTGCTGGTGCATGTGGGTGCTGAAGTCAGTGTCAGGTGTCATTTATCAGTCAATAGCCATAGCGTGTCAGAAACAGGGGCTTTTCATTGTTTATTGGCGTGTGTGTGTGTGTGTGTGTGTGTGTGTGTGTGTGTACTGACTGAGCCATCTCCCTGCCCCTGTAATGGTTTTTTGAGTGGCCTGAGGCATGTCATATTTTATCCTGAAAAAGGGTGACAGGGTTTCTCGTCTCCTCCCAGAAAGGATGCTGGTGAGTAGACAGTGAGAGACAAGGGAACCTTTGCAGGAAGAAGATGAGAACTTAGAGACAGGTGAGCACCGGGCAGGGCATGCTGTGAGCCACACACGAGGCAGAGCAGAGGGAGCTAGCTCCCAGAGCTCAACACAACCCCTCCACTCTCCGGGAGTCAGGCCATCAGAGAAAAGGGAATTCTGGGAACTTATGGGATGGCTTCTGTAAAAGGTAAAGAACCCCAGGCCCAGCTCCCAGGATAAGAACGGAGCATCCATTGGACCTGTGCTGGCTTTTGTTGGGCCCAGCCAGCCTGGGGTCCTCTGGTTGGGGGGTCCCTCTGACCCCATGGTTCCTTACAGCTGTGCCCTGTCTGTGATGTCGTTTAAGGGGTGATTGTGTATTCACTAGCCCGAGTGTTTACATGCTGGATGCTGGAGGTGGGTGTAGCCCCAGCCACGGGGTTAGAGAATGCTGTCTTAGAGGAGTCACCTGAGTTTGATTTTAAGGATAAAGAAAAATGAACACACAGTAGAATTCAGACAGAGAAAAACACATCTTGGCCAGGGGAGGACTTGAAGGCACAGAGGTCACAAGGCCCCGGACAGTCATAGGGAGGCGTCCTGTGGTGAGAGCTCTAGGAGGCTGTGGCCATGAGGACAGAGAAGGCAGCAGAGGTATGAGATAAACTGGAGATGGAGAGGGACTCGGTGTGGAAAGGGAAGCATCAGGGACACTGCACAGGAAGTGAGCGGGTAGATGCTGTCTCCCTGTGATGGGGATGCCTAGGAGATGAGACGGGGCAATGCTGTGTTCAGGGGTAAATGTATACTCTCTAGAGCCTGAGGGAGGGAGAGAGGGAGACAGGCACCATCAGTGTCCTGGGGCAGCTGGGGCCTCAGGATGCTGTGGGGAAAGAGGAGGGAGGGCCAAGGGCAGACTCACTTAAGAACCAAGTGGGACCCAGAAGAGACTGAGGTGTCGAGGCCAGCCATGTGTGTACAGTGTGTGTGTGGAAACCAGCTTGAGGCAGTCAGAAATACCCAGTCCAGAAAGACAAAGACAGGGAGGAGTAAGCATGTCTGTCCCTCTCAGCAATTTATGCCTGCTCATGGCATCCATCTTCAGCTCAGAGAACACATAACCACGAAGCATTTTCTTGAAGCGGTACCAGACATCTAGGGAGAACAAACTCCAACTGCCTATCCGTAATCAACCTAGCACAAAAATAGAATTCTACAGTCCTTAGGCAGCAAATGTGTCATCTGATGCACAGATTTTGCACCAATCTCACCCACAGCTCTGAATGTTTCTCTTATGTACATAGCTGCCTGAAGCTCATTCAGCTGATCTGAGATTATTGACATCCACCCATAGCACATGCCCTGTATTCTCAAGCCATATAAATGAAGACCAAAGGGGATGTGGGCACATCAGAATGTAAACTGACTTAAAAGTGTGTGTGTGTGTGTGTGTGTGTGTGTGTGTGTGTGTGTGTGTGTGAGAGGGGGGGAACGGGGGAGGGAGGGTATGTACATGTGGGTGTAGTACCCACAGAGGCCAGAAGAGGGCATACCCTGAATCTGGAGACAGGTGGTTGTTAGTCACCCAATTTGGGTCCCTTTTAAGAGCAGCAAGTGCCACTGAAGTCATCTGTCTAGTTATTGAATTTTTTTCCCTGACAGTTGACTAAGAAAGGAGAGAGAGGGAGGAAGGACAAGGAGAGAGAGGAGGGCAAAAGGAAGAGAAAGGAAGGAAAAGTAGAGAAGGAAGGAAGGTGAAAGAAGATAAAGACAGGGACATGTCTTACTGTAGCCATGTTGTCTTTAGCAACTCTGGCCAAGATGATGTCATAGGTGTGAGACATAGGGGACAGTGGTCAAGATTTGGGGGGAGAGAGCAACTCTGGCCAAGATGATGTCATAGGTGCGAGGCAGAGGGTTATTAGGGGACAGTGGTCAAGATTTGGGGAAAGAGGGCAAACTCTGCAGAGCAAGTTCATTTTGGATGCAATGAAGACAATGGGGGAGTGGCTGTGGGGACGGGGAGCCTGGGGTTTGCTTGGAGAGAGGGGGTGAAAATCTTTGCAGGGCCTGGGAGGGAGCTGAGATCTACAGGGGAGCTGTGCCATGGCAGACAGCTGCCTGCTGTCAGAGGGAGCTGTTTCACATTGGGTGATAAAGAGTTGAGTTGGGAATTGTGGATGCCAGGAAGCCAAGAGAAGGTGGTATCGGGCATGATGGCCCAGAGGCGGCAGCTGGCATTTAAGAAGGAAGACGTGAACCGGACCAGGAAGCAGGTGGTTGGCACCTCCAGCTGGGTCCGGGCTCATGGTGTGTCTCTCATGGGGTTAGGAATTAAGAAAACTCAACTCTGCCGGGTGTCGGTGGCACATGCCTTTAATCCCAGCACTCAGGAGGCAGAGGCATACTGATCTCTGTGAATTCGAGGCCGGGCTGGACCGACAGCCTCAAACAATACAGAGAAACCCTGTCTCATAAAACCAAAAAAAAAAAAAAAAAAAGAAAAAAAAAGAAAAAAAGAAAAGAAAACTCAACTCACCGGGGTCGCCTCTTCGCCCGGGCTTGCCACGCCGTCCAGGGGGACCTAGACAGGAAAACACGGATGGAGTCACTGAGAAGGAAAGCCAATGTATGTGCACATGGCCCCTGGCTGACGGCTCCTCACCACCGGCGGAGCTGGCTGGGCTCACTCGTGCATACCACAGAGCACCCTGCCTGAGGCCAGTGGAAGGAGGTGGTGGAGAGACCCCTCTCCCGTGTGCCACTCCTGCCTTTGCTCTTCCAGGACACACGTACACTCTTCACCAGCTCTGCTGTTCATCTACTCATTCCTGGGCCTCTCCAAGCCAAGAGTTACTCCTGGGACAAACTTCAGACTCGGGGGAAACACAACACTGAAGGTGAGCCTTTTCTCACAAAAGCCCTGAAAAGTGCATTGCAGTGTTCCGTAAAATGAAACAAGATCCACAGTGAAAACCAATACTGCCATGGTCATGATACTCCAGGTTAAATGTGGCGATCACAGGCACCATGATGGCCCTTTGCCTTCTTTCCACAGCTCCCTGGAGCCTCCTGCCTTCAGCCCCCGGGAGCGGCTCACAGTGGTGTGTGCTTCAGTGTGGGTCACAGGCATGTCACAACACGTTCTTGCTGGTCCAGGCCTCCTTCCACGTGTTTAAACCTCTCTCAAGTTATATCGCCCTCTGCCCTTGTCAGTCACAGGCCAGCCTTGTGCCCTGAATCTGAGGGCCTCACATTCGGTTGTAAAAAAAATCACTTGTGTCCCTCTGCGCTGGGCTCTGCCTCCTTGTCCACTTGTAAGTCTGATTGCTCCACACAGACAGAAAGCTGTTGTCTTTGTTGATGAATAATTCTTCCTTCCTCTCTTCCTCCCTCCCTCCCTCCCTCCTTCCCTCCCTCCCTTATGTAACTACCCTTTCCTAGAACCTGTTCTGTAGACCAGGCTGGCCTTGAACTCACAGAGATCCTCCTGCCTCTGCCTCCCTAGTGCTGGGATCAAAGGTGTGCACCATCAATGCCTGGCTTCTTCTTTTTTTTTTTTTTCTTTTTTAGCTGAGCTGTGAATCTTTAACCCCAGCTTTCTAGAGGCAGAGGCAGTGGGTCTCTGTGAGGACCAGGCTGACCTGCTCTACATAGTGAGAATTTCTCTTGAAAAACAAAACAAAACAAAACAAAAACCCAACCTGGCCGGGCGGTGGTGGCACACGCCTTTAATCCCAGCACTCGGGAGGCAGAGGCAGGCGGATCTCTGTGAGTTCGAGGCCAGCCTGGTTTACCAAGCGAGTTCCAGGACAGCCTCCAAAACAATACAGAGAAACCCTGTCTTGAAAAACCAAAAAAAAAAAAAAAAACAAAACAAAACAAAACAAAAAAAACCCCAAAACAACCTGAAATAAAACTAAAACCAAAAAAATTATTTTATGTGTCTGTGTGAGTATAGGCACCCATGTGTGCAAGAGCTCACAGAGGCCAGGAGAGGGCATCAGATCCCCTGGAGCCCGGGGCTATAGGCAGTTGTAAGCAGCCTGATGTGGGGCTGTGGCTGAATTCTGATCCTCCACAAGGGCAGTAAGTCCTTTTGACTGCTGCACCACGTCTCTAGCCCCTTGGTTGAATTTTGCAAATGGCATTTGTCCTGCATAGGTTTACTATTGCTATGATGAAAGGCCATGATGGAAAGCAAGTTGGGCAGGAAAGGGTTTTTTGGCTTACGCTTCCACATCACTGTCCATCATCAAAGGAAGTCAGGACAGGAACTCAAACAGGGCAGGAACCTGGAGGCAGGAGCTGATGCAGAGACCACGGAGGGGAGCTGCTTACTGGCTTGCTTCTTGTGGCTCACTCAGCCTGTCTTTTTTTCTAATAATAATAATTTTTTTATCTAGGTTAGAAACAATCTTGTTTCACATGTCAGTCCCAGTTTTTTTTAATAGAACCCAGGACCTGCCAGCCCAGGACAACACTACCCACAATGGTCTGGGCTCTCCCACACCAATCACTAAGTAAGAAAATGCCCAAGTCTGCCAGTGGTGGCATCCGCTTTTAATCCCAGCGCTTGGGAGGTAGAGACAGGAGGATCTCTGTGAGTTCAAAGCCAGCCTGGTCTACAGAGTGGGTTCCAGGACGGCTGGAGCTGCACAGAGAAACCATTTCTGGAGCCCCTGCCCTCCAAAAGAAATAAAATGTCTCATAGGCTGCCCATAGCCCAGTCTTATGGAGGCATTTTTCTCAGTTGACTCCCTCTTCTCTAATGACTCTAGTTCGTGTCAGGTTGACATGAAACTACACAGCACAGCATTGTGTATCTGTTTGCCTTGCCTGCTACCTGCATGGCAGGTTCCATGCTGGGGCTTGGGGGCACTGAAAGACAGGGTGTGAATGCCTTCCAAGGCATTGCCCTTCATGCAAAGTCAGCCTCAAAACCCCTCAAGAATTCTCAGATCTACCAGGGGGAGATGCAGCATCTGGTCATTAACCAAGTCTAGGCAAGGCAGAGCAGTTCATGGCAAGATTAGAACTGGGTGTGTGATGGTGGTACACTGGCTATCAACCTGACAGGATCTAGAGTCACCCAGGAGTTAGAACATTGGGCATGACCGAGGGAGTTGACTGAGGTGGGAAGCCCCTCCTGCCCCATGTGACCCCATCCCATGGCTGGGATTCCAGACTGCAGAGAAAGGAGAAAGTGAGTTGCATGCCGGCATCCGCCTCTCTGTTCCCTGACTGCAGATGCAACGACCAGCCACCTCAAATTCCTGTCGCCATGTCTTTCTTGATGCCATGGATTGCACCCCCAAGCTGTGAGCTAAAACAAGCCCCTCCTTCCTTTGAGTTGCTTTGGTCCGGCATTTTAACCCAACAATGAAGAATCAACAACGTGCTTCCCTTTCCTTCTCCCCGACTGAGCAGCTGCTCATGGTACATCCTGGACTGAGGAGTCGGCACAGGGCAGAGAAGCAGCCCGGCTCTGCCTCACAGGGTGCTTCTGGCTCCCGTGAGGGATGCTCTGAATTGGGAGGAGAGCAGGATTCTGAGAGACATGGAGGGAGGGGTGTTCTTCTGGATAGGAAGGGCCCCACAGGGCCCTTTTACAGTGAGTGAGGAAAGAATAAATTCCTTCCTAGCCTTGTGGGCTGAGGGTTTCAGGTCAGAGTGGCTGAAGGAAACTTAGGGATTGAAGAGACACAGGGCTGAGACTGCTGATTACTTGGTACAGCACTTGCCTAGCATGCATGAAGCCCTGGACTTGATCCATGGCCCTGCATAAACCAGGCATGGGGGCCAAGGTGTACAATCCAGCATTTGGGAAGAAGATGCAGGAAGATTAGGAGTTCAGAGTCATCCATGGCCACATTGAGTTTGAGCACAGCCTGGGCTACATGAAACTTTGTTTGAGAGAGAGAGAGAGAGAGAGAGAGACAGAGACAGAGACAGAGACAGAGAGACAGAGAGAGACAGAGAGAGAGACAGAGAGAGACAGAGGGAGACAGAGAGAGACAGAGAGAGACAGAGAGAGAGACAGAGACACAGAGAGAGAGGCCATAAAATGAGGCAAAAACACTCTGCCCCATTGCTCTGTGTTTAGGACAGAAACTTCTATCAAAGACACAGACCCTGGTCTTCAGGACACAGGCTTTGCAGTCGGTGTTTGTGTTGGAATTTCAGACAAGCCATGCTAATGTGTTTCTCTGGCAAGGCCCTAAGGCCAGCACCACTCTAACAAATGGTTACTTGCACCTGCATGGAATGTAAAGCCTATGGGTTGTGTCTAGGCCAATGCCTGTGGCATCTGCACGAGTGTGTGACCAGCCACCTCCTTGGCACCTCCATGTGTGTCTCACCATCTCAGGTCACTGTACAACCTTCCTGTGCCCTGTGTGCAGCTGCAGGTATCTGAGAACCTTGTGAGCCAGCCAGACACAATAACTGAACCCTGGCGTTTGGAGGCCTTATATCCTCTGTGGATGTATCTATTTTTAGGGAGAGAGAGACTGGGGATTGGAACCCCATCAGCATGGATGGAGCTGCTTGTCTCTCTGCTTGTAAAGCAAGAAGACCCAATTTTCTCCCACAGAGCCTTGGGGGCTCATGCCAGGCCGCAGAAGGCTGGCTGTGGGGCAAAGGAAAGGAGGCCCAAGCGGGAAATAGAGCAAGCTATGTCCAGACCTGAAGCCGAACCAGCACCATGGCATTTTGATGGTCACTGCTAGGCACAAGTATAAAATTCCCTGTCTAGGTTAACCAAGGCCAGATTTGCTTTTGTTGAGGTGGCAGAACAAATGGATTTGTCTGGGTGGTTCCTCTGGGTGGCATGGTTCAGCAGCAGGCCCAATAGAGGGGTGCAACAGAGTAGGCAGCTTTGCAGGCTGGGTGGGATGCCCTGCCTCCAGGAGCCATTGTGCAGAGCTCCCAGCAGGCCCAGGTTGGATGTCACTAAGCATGCAGGGCCTATGGAGATGCAGCTTGCCACTCTGGCTGCCACTCACAGAAGAAGGGGTCTAAGAGGAGGAGAAGGGGGCTGCTTGTGAACACACTCCAGGGCTGGTCACAACCCTGCTCTAGAGGCTTCTATGGGATTCACTCATGTGGCCAACAGGTCTATCCCTTAGTCTAAGATTCATATGTAACCGCTCAACTTTAATGGGGGCAGCATGAGCTCAAAGCCTCGCTTCCCAGTTGCTTTCCTCACCAGAGTGAAGGCATCACCAGTACCCAGGAGGCTGTTTGGATAGATGGTTCTTCAGAGTCCTCTTGTTGAATTCTCTCCCCTCCTCCCAACCTAGACAGCATCTCCATTTCTCTCTCTGTCTCCCCTGCCCTCACACATCTCCCTTGATGCTCTGCCACCTAGCAGCCTCTCACACAGCAATGTGTCTCCAAGTCCCAGGCTGGGGTGGGGCCAGGGGATGTAGGCTGAGGGAAGGTCAAAGAGAGGCATGATGGGTAACCTCCCATTCATTCTCTTCCTATAACTGTTAGTCAGGCATGTCCAACATTTTGACACTGCAATGCAATGTTGTCATCTACAAAGTTTATGCTCAATAGCCACCCACTCAAATTACC